TGTAAATTTCTAACTCCAAATCCCTAGATATTACACAAATCTTTTATACTACACATTCTAGCGTAAGTCATATGTTAACGTGAAATATGGTTGAAGTGACGTCATATACAATGCAACCCTACACAGTACCTGTCTTTAATATGTTGATAATGTGGTGCTCAGGCAAGCTACTCGTAAATTCCAAGTTGTATGTGATCTAAATATCAGTTAGCTAAATACTCGAGCGTTCTACACGTCGTCTTCCCTCAGGCAAAAGAGCTCATTGTTACTATAAATGTATCATCAAACTCAAGTTTAATTGCTTTAGGCAATAATGTCGCAATTAAATCATTCATTTTCTTGTGCGATTGTTACCGTTCGTGAATGATGATTTAAGTTGTTTGGATATTGGAGAGCGCTTTCACCAACAGATTACTGAAGATTCCTAGTTATTCCACAACTTGTAACTATTTCAACTGTACCCGTTCATGAACTGGGAGCTAATCCAATTGGTGATCATTTGGATTCTGTAGAGGAAATTTAGTAGATGTTAAAGGTGAACACCAATAATCATAATTACTATGCTTTGATAAGTAGATTGAGGTTGTTTCTCTGATTACTGACAAACTAATTAATATCCGTACTAGCTAATCACATAACATGTAGAAAGTCGTATTGGTGAGAATTTAATAGCCTATGGAACTACATGGTCAGTCAGCTACAACATAGGACCAGGCACATATGTGCATCGGTCCAAGTTGCCATACCTCATTAACACAACAAGATGAACATCAGATTCATAGAATTAGTTAATTCAGTGTTGGTAATATATAAAAGAAAGATTGCATATAAGGACATAGTACGGGAAGAAAGAATTAGTCGGTAGAAAGGATATGAAGCGATTTAAATCTCATAGTTTAAGGGAAGATAGAGAGTGTATACACCGACGCCATTGTGATCTATTCTGAGCCATGTCACTCGGGGTCTTCAAACATTGGCTACGATAGTCACGCGGACCTCAACCACGTAGTCTGCATCTACCAACATGGCTCAGACTAGAAGTTAGTGACTTCAAGCACTGATGCCACGTTTTGGTTTGGCCGCCCCTAACTTTCCTCCAACCATCCCAACACCAGTCAGCATTGCGCGTCATGGTAATCGGTGTTCAGGAATACGTAACACGTGGCCCAACCATCTCAGTCGATGAGGAATTTCAACCTCACCAACTGATTTACCATCATTCTTTGTTACCCTGCGTCGAACTTCGCTATTACTTTCTAGGTGATCCCAGCAGATGCGAGCAAGACATATGTGATCAAATACAAGTAACTTACGTGTATCCTTATCTCTTAATGGCCACGTTTCGCAGCCGTAAAGTAAAACAGAACGAACTGCCACGCAGTATACTCGTCCCTTAATTGATAGACGGATATCTCGACTTCGCCATAGGTGACGTAAGTTGGCAAGAGCCAAACAAGCTTTTCGAATCCGTGCTGAGATTTCGTCAGACACCAACCCATTAGGGCTGCTCAGACTTACAGGATAAGCGAAGTTGTGGACGCGTTCGACTACTTCACTCCCTATCCTTAGTTCAGGTATTGACGCAGGCCAGTCCTGAAGCAACAACTTACATTTAGAGGGGGAGAAGTGCATCCCAAACATTCTGGAATTGTTGCTTAGTGCTACCAAAAGACTGCAATTTGTCAGCGTCTTCACCAAACAGGACTATGTCATCTGCGTATTCTAAGTCGATAAGTAGACCTGGTAGGAGATCGATGCCCAAGAATTCAGTCGACGAAAACGTTATTTCCATCAATAGGTCTATGATGAAGTTAAACAAAAATGGGGAAAGCGGACAGCCTTGACGGACACCACTTAGGGTTGCAAAAGCAGATGACAGTTCGCCATAAGCTCTGACTCGACTGGCAGTGTTCGAGTAAAGAGTCTTTACAAGGTTTATGTACTTCTGGGGTACGCCTTTCAATGACAGACACTGCCACAGAATCTCACGGTCTACAGAGTTAAATGCTGCTTTTAAGTCAAGAAAGACCACCATTGTAGGACGCCGATAAGTATGCATGTGTTCTAGAACCTGACGAATGGTGAATATGTAGCCGATATAGCCGCAACCAGGTCTGCAGCCAGCCTGATTTTCTAGTGTTTGCAGTTCACGAGTCTTGGTTAGGGGGCCAATAATTATTGAGGCTAGTATTTTAGATACTATATTAGTCAAACTAGTCCCTCTATGGTTATCACAGAATGATTTTGACCCCTTCTTATATATTGGGACAATCAGTGATTGCGACTAGTCAGATGGGATTACGTCCAACTCCCAGATCTTGGATAAAATATTAATGAACCTAATCGCTAAAGTTGGACCACCATACATAAAGACCTCTGGGGCCAATCCATCTGGACCAGCTGCTCTTCCTTGTTTCAGTTTATCTATATCTTTATGAACTTCAGCTTGATTATGAATACAGTGGTCTTGAGTGCTGTTAGAGGTATGAGGGTGGTTATCACTTCCCGGTTGCCCACACCGTATAAGGGTTCTTCTGGAGGTACCTGAAAGAAAAATTGGATTAGAGGTGGTCTTAGTGACCTGAGAGCGTGACCGCAGTGCCCAAGGGACAACTGCTTGAGGTCGGTCACACATGACCTTTTTATGAGTAATTTTTTACGTTAGCTCCGTACTTGTTGAAACCTTAACGCCGGAGACGGATATCCGTGGGATAAGGCGAGGTGTGCATTTTTAGGGTCGGCCATTTCTAATCAAACCCCTCTTTATGGGAAGGCAGCATCGCTGTCATGCTGGTTGTTTGAAGGAAACACTTTACTGCTGTCACACCTCTGTACAATCGGTAGTACGACTTCGCCTTGGGTTTGTTGGTTTTAGTCTTACCGCTCTTCAACCGACCTTTCTGACGTGGTAGGACCTTAAGGAACAGTTTTTTCTAGTCAGTATAGCCCAGTTGCTTCATCACGATAAGCAAGCCCGACCACTAAGTCAAGGTAGCAACAACGGTTGGGCTAGAGTCGGGGGACCTACCTCAGTGTTCCATTCATGTTGTCTGGGAATGATGGGTAGTTGTAGAGTAGCTGAAGACCAACTGAACTGCTCCTTAAAATTTTCCGCCTATCGTTCTAAACGTCTGGGCTGAGAGCAGATAAAATTGTCGTCTTTTCCCGAGATAGTCTTGACTTGACTTTTTAGTTCCGGTTTCTTCTATTAGTCTGAAGAGCTGTCTTGTGTTACCTACAACTGCCACATTTCCATCTCTTTTGCTTTCAATGCCCACCACTGCTCACGGTCGTTCCTTAGACTTCTGATTAACCTAGATCTGATTTGCTTTCGCTCCTCACCATGTTAAGAGCCTGATGGAATGAGCTTACGAAAACCCATCAGTTCAATAGACTTAGAAGAAATCCATTGGTTTTTTGTAACCCTTTGGTTTAAATCACTAATAGATGTCACTGCTGTTTCCACAGCTGTTTGTATATCTTTCCAAGCAACATCTGGGTCAGATTCGTTTTCAGAGCTACCTAAGGGTGACCTCAGTTGTTCCCGGAATCTACTTTCGGGTTTCTCGTTACTCAATCCAATTCTAAAGGGACTTCTTAATGTGGCTTTTCTGCGTCCAGTGAGGCGCAAGCGAATGCGTACTAGTATTAGCGCATAATCGGAGTGTAAACATGTACTCCAGAACAAGTGACAGTCTTCTATCAAGCCTCTCCAACGATGACTGATGGTAATATGGTCTATTTGAGTCCAACGTTGGTTTGGTGCAAGGGGTCGCCATGTTAGATGATGTCCCTCCTTATGCTTAAAATTTGTGTTTGCTAAAAATAAACGATTGGATGAGCACAGTTGGAGCAGACGACCACCATTATCTGTCTGACGGAACTACACAGTTCCATTCCTATTTAAGTTACAAAATTTGACTCAGTAATTAGGGTATATAGCTCCCATTTTAGGGAATACTAAAGGCCACGTAAATACAGTACCTTCCAAGATATCAGAAATTAAGTCAGTACTTGCCTGTTTCGCCGGAACAGTAAAATGAATCACGTGGAAATATACATATGTCCTCTACCACCGATACCTGAGACCAACGTTATTTTAGCTCAGACAACACAAAACCCTCCTTACGAGCTGAAGTTTTCTTCATCATCCCAATTACCACGGTTGATATCTACCTCAATTTATCCATAAAAACTGTATGGTTGTAAATTTCTTCGTCTTTTCGTCTTGAATACCAATAGAAACGTGCGGAATATGAAAAGGTAAGAGCCTAATATACAGATGACGAAGTAACCTAACTGCGTTTACTCAGACTGCCGCTATGACCATGAAATTGCTTTAGAAACAGTATATTACATGCAAAAGTCCGGTATGTAAAGAAAAAGATACCGCTGCCAACAATACTTTGTATTACAAAAATTCGAAGGACATTGGTTGTAGATTTTCCTCAGCACTAGGTCAGTAGGACTGTGATCAGACCAATCTTATCTTTAAAACTAGATGACCAAACAAACAGGAAGATTCCCCAGTATGTAACAAATGAGGACTACACTTCATTAGCAATAGATTTAGAACAAAAACTTGTCTCATCGAACAGTGTGCTTTATGAAAAGAGCCGCAGGACGTTTTCACCCGTTTAACTGGGGATGCTAGTCTTACTGTAACCGATGCCAACAAAATAGCCGCATAAAAGGGATGTGACCCTGTTGTCAGATATTATGAAAGTTACTTTTGTCGATTTTACTATCGTATCCTAAGAGTATGTAGCCTTCTCTCTCGAATTCTCAACGGTGACATTTTCTCTTTGGGAACAGAATTAACGCTAAAGTCAGTTGAACACTGTTCTCCAGAAAAATCCGTTCAGATGTACTACGGAACTAACTTCCACATAACTATACGCAAGCTGTGGATTGGACTTTAACAAATGATTATCACTAACCGCAAAAAACGGGCCCCAGTCCATTGTTAGAAGACACTATTGTTATGATAACTTTATTGGTTAAATAAGCAGTTTTTCAATGCTCTGTTGAATAGAAATGACGAGAGGTTTGAGTTGCGAGCCCTCGCTATCTGTAACAGCAACGGCTGCTACCGATCTGGATACACCACAGGCACGACCCAAAGCCATTTGTGATGGGATGAAGACGTAAGGGACATTCTTATCTTCACACAGAAGAGGCAAGTGTAAAACTATTTCAAGGGGATCTATGTCGGCAGCCATTACAATAAACTCTGCTTTTCCTCTGTTAAGAGCCTTGGTAGCCTCGTTTGCACCCTTCTTAAGCTGCTTATATGAACTAGCCTGTTTGACAAGTTCGATTATTTTATTTGTTAATTCAGGGCCTGCCAGCGGGTAAGCCCGTGGGTTAACATCTAGAGTCTAGCAGTAAAATCATATAAGTGAAAATCGAACATACCATGTTGTGCACTCAAACGTGTCTCGAGACCGTGACCTTGAGAATGACTAAGACCCAAAATGGTTCAAATGGTTCAAATGGTTGTGGACGGAATAGAAGAAGCTTTCGCTTAACAGGCTTCCGCGTCTAGTAGCAGGAACCTAGGTATGTTAACAATAAAAGAGGAAAAGAAATTGGTAAATCATAGTGTGAACTCTACGCGCTCGTTTAAAAAATGGCAGTGATTTTTGTATTTGTTGTGATTATACTTGCTTTTGGTACTAATTGCACCAAAAGCATTCCTGGTCTACTTTAACTAAAAGTACTTTGGTTAAAGTTTGAAATTTTTGCTAAACTTCGTCCTATGTACCTTTTTTATCCCTAGACTAACACTTGTGTTCCCATTGTGATCATTGTGTCTTTTTAAACCTTTTAAATCTAATTACAATGGTTGGTACAACTAACAAATGTGGGCAACCAAATTGTTTGTTCCCCGTTGAGGAGGGAATGCAGTGTGATGACTGTAAAAAGTAGTACCACAAAATGTGTACACGCCTGAGTCCGATGGCATACAAAAGATGCTCGAAGCCTAACTCACATTGGCTTTGTATGTTGTGCTGTGCGGATAAAAAGGTACTAATTCAGAAGGCTATGGGCCTATTGGCTTTGGCCTGCAAGAAAAACGATGACACATGCGCTGACAACACCGGCACTGACAGTGACGTTTGTGTCAGTGGAGTACCTGCGGTTACGCGACGCCTCAAACAACCGACTCTGACCGACGCTAAAGTGAGATCGCCGTTAACATTAACAATGGGAGTAATACCACCTGATGCTGACAGTGATAACAATACACCTTTAGTGAAAACCGACGAACTGGATAAAAACATCACCTTTCCCAATAGTCCCAATGTCCTAAGGGATGAAAAATGGACAACGGTACGTAGGAAACGAAACGAAAGGAAAAAATCTGTAGGCAGTACACAGGTAGTTAGTAACTCACTGCTGGACTCTCATTGTGAGTCACATACTGCACTACCAAAATCTGATGGTAAGAGTGAAACCCATCCTGGCGTGACTGAGAAGAAAAATCAAATAACAGATCAAACTAATGACTGTTTACTTGATAAGTCCTTGGTGGACTCTCAGACCAATCCGCCAAAGCTCCAAAGTAAAGCTTCGTCTAACATTGTTGTGAGTCACTCACAGGACTCTGTTACAATAAAAGCTAATCGTAAGATACCAGTAGTTAATATACAAGATCTATCGTCACGGTCGAAAGCTGTGAACACAGTTTCAAAAGAACCTAAGCCCCTCCCTAGTTTAATTATTTGGAATCTAGAGGAGTCGAAAGACAAAGACCCTGCTAGAAGACATGCACATGACCTGCAGTTAGTGGAGTCTGTGGTAAGGATTGTACTGCCTAAAGAGGTTTCAGGAGTACATATTACAAAAGTAGTACAACTTGGTTAATCGGTTGGAGGCGAGACCCAACCAAGAAGAATCCTGAAGCTGATTCTCGGGAGTTTTGAAGAAAGATATATTATTGAAAAACGCACTAAAAATTCGTGACTCAAATATCCGTATTCGACCAGATTGACCGCTTGAGGATCGAATCAAGTGGAAGAATGCTCTTACAGAGTTGAGAACTCGCAAGTTAAATGGCGAAATTAACCTTACCATTAAGGGTTTTCGGGTAGTCAGGTCTTGGAAGCCAATGCTTCCGAGGCCTGTATGGGTGGAACAATTGATTTCCAAAACACCTTAAGTGTGTGCTACACGAATGCTCGTAGTCTTAGAAATAAAACATCCGAGCTAAGACTGATGGTGGAAGAATTATGTCCCGATATAATCGTTGTTACAGAAACTTGGTTCACAGTATATATAAACTGTTTTCCGTTCATTGCAGGCAATATCTGTATTAGAAGTGATAGTTTCAAGTCTCAAAGAGGGAGGTATAATATTTTATGTTAGGGATCACTTTCGTATACAATCAACCATATCGGAGGCTCATATCAGTGGCACATGTGAGGCTGCATATTGTAAGATTAAATCTAGAAGTGGATTAGTGACTATAGGGGGAATATACCGTAGTCCGTTTTGTCTTGCTGACGACTTTATCCTCAGACACATCTGTTCTTGGAGTATGGCAGAATGTTGTCTCATCACTGGGGACTTCAACTCACCGCATATCAACTGGATAGATCTCACAGCTGCAGGTAGTGGTTTCGATAGCGACCTTTTATCTACCGTTATTCAGTGTGCACTTGTACAATGTATCACAAAACCGACACATATTAATTTCAATCATGATCCGTCACTGCTGGAACTCGCCCTCACCCATCACTGTGAGGATGTCTTTGATATTCAGCACCTTCTCCCACTAGTGAACAGTGATCACGTTGTAATTCACTTTAAGTTTAGGACAATTCGTATCTGCTCCACCCCATCTCAATATCTGGCGAGCCAATATTCCGGCGATCGGAAACTGTGCTATCTCGACTGATTGGTCGGTCGACGCGGCTAGATCGATCGAAGATGAATGGAATAAGTTTAAGGCCACATTCGAGTCCGTAACGTCGCCGTTTATCCCATGGTCAGCACATAAGCTATCAAATTGCCCTCCATGGATTAATAAGGAAACCCGGAAGCTGTTCAAGCGTAGGAAACATTTCTGGAACTTATTCTTGTTGACAGGTCATGCATCATTTAAGCGTGAGTACCGAAAATTCCGGAATATTTGTAAGAAAACCATAGCTATATCCCGTACCACTCACGAGCGACAGTTAGTATATGATAGCCGTACTTGTCCGAAACGATTGTTTTCGTATGTTAAACGGCAAATGAAACGTAGTGATGGTATTCCCCTGTTACTGTTACACGAAAATTCCGAATTATTAGCTGAATTCGATCGAGCAAAAGCTGAGACTTTTTCAAACTATTTTAGCGAAGTCTTCTCTACGTTTATTGTAACAAATACTTGTCCCACTCACACCGAGATACCAACCACTGAATCTGTACAGGTGACTGAGGAAACTGTCCTTCCGTTGATAACTAACCTCAAACCTGGTAAGACACGGGGCCCCGACGAGTTACATCCACGGTTGCTTTCATTTCTCGAGGACATTATCTCAAAACTCCTCACGACTTTCTTCAACATGTCCCTTTCACTCGCTCAACTCCCTAGAGATTGGAAGGACGCTATAGTTAGTCCTATATTTAAGGACGGTCAGAGACATATAGTATCTAACTACCGGCCTGTTAGTCTAACTAGCATAGTTGTTAAGTTACTCAAAAAGATAATTCGGGTGAGGTTGCTAAGCCACATAGATTTACACAATCTGTTGGCTCGTCAGCAACACGGATTTCGTAACAAGCGTTCATGCTTGACTAACTTGCTTATTGCGAGGGAGGATTAGACAGCAGCCCTAGATAAAGGTCTGTCTGTCGATGCGACATTCATAGATTTTAGCAAAGCATTTGACAAGGATTAAAACTTAGGTCTTGTGCGGAAGCTCACGAGCTTCGGAATATCAGGTACTGTACAGGAGTGGATAGGTAACTTCTTATGTGGCGGCAGACAGAGAGTGAGGGTCAATGGAACGCTATCCGATTGGAAGCCGGTCAAAAGTGGTGTATCCCAAGGCACCATCTTAGGCCCTCTGCTCCTCCTTCTCTACGTTAATGAGTTACCACTATTACTTAGGTCGTCGACATTATTGTTTGCGGATGATGTAGAAATCTGGAGAACAATAAAAAGTGCGGCTGATCATCTGGATCTTCAAGCTGACTTAGACGATTTAGTTAGATGGGCTCGAGAGTGGGGCTTAGAAATCAATGCTAGGAAGAGTGTTCTAATGCACATCGGTTATGGTGATAGTTACCGTTACACTATTGAGGGTAAACCTCATCCATGCGTTCAAGAGCATAAAGACTTAGGAGTAGTATTAAGTCATGATTTAAAAACAACTACGCATTGCAAAGCAGCCGCTGTCAAAGGTTTTCGTGCGTTATGGTCACTTCGCCGAGCGTTCAAATCTTTTGACGAGGAAACGTTTCGAATTTTATACCCCATATATGTTAGACCACATTTAGAGTACTGTATCCAAGCAGCTAGCCCGTGTCTGGTAAACGATACTGACTCCCTTGAGCGTGTCTAGCGTGTAGGAACGAAATTAGTGAAGGGTCTTTCTAGACTTCCTTACGATGAGCGTTTAAAACGCCTAAATCTTTTCCCCTTGTCGTATCGTAGGACACGAGGTGACCTTATGCTGGCACTTCGTATCTTTAATTATGATTTGGGTGTTAATATGTCTTATCTTTTTACTCCCTACAGCACTAATAATCTCCGAGGTCATAGCAAGAAGGTTCATAAACCGCGATCTAATAAACTTAAAGTGGGGTCCCGTTTTTCTCATCGAGTAGTCAGTGATTGGAACGCCTTACCCAAACAAGTGGTATCAGCCCCATCAGTGAATATTTTCAAAGAGAAACTGAACCTTCACTGGAAGACAATCTGTCAGGATTAACACAGGTTCACCAACCTACTATCCTTATTACTGAAGACTGAAGACTGTGATGCTGTCCTTGGTCCTTAAGAATAGGTCAAGTTGCCGCTTAAAAGACTCCTGAGAAGTCGCTTGGACTAGCTCGGCCGGCAGCGAATTTCAGCTTTTGACAACTCTTAAGGAGTAGAAGTTGTGTCTACATTCCGTCTTGCTATGTTGTGTTTCCAGTTTCTGGGTGTTACCCCTTAGGTTATTATTCGAACTAAGCTTAAGTAGGTGTTTAAGAGGATGTCCAGAAGTGTTAAGAATACTATAAGCCATTAATAAATCACCTCTAAAAGTGTCGATTTTTTAGGTATGAAGTAAGCCGATAGATTAGAGGTGGTTTGGTACCTAGTCGTTTGAGCTTATTGATAAGACGCAAGTGGTTATCCTTATCAAAAGCTTTTGAGAAATCAAGGTAAATGATATCAACCTTTCCCTTGTGATCAAGGATGCTTATCCATCTGTCCAACGCAGTCAGCAGGTTGGTTATACAAGAGTAACATTTCCTGAAACCATGCTGTTGGGGTGAGAATAAATTTAAGGACAGTATTATTTTCTTGTGACATCATTTGTATTTTTTGCCATGGTAACATAAATTTAAGAAACATACTTATTAATGTAGAAAATATTGAATTTCGAGTAAGTTTTAAATCAGATTGATAATTATCACATATATTATTCAAATCTTCAATAAGTTGACTGTTCCTAGTAACCGTAGTAGTAGTAGAGTTCATCTTTGAATCTTTATCTTTTTGTTTATTGATAGTATATAAACAATAATTTTCATTTAAATATTGTATAAATATAGTATGTAATAAAGCAATACGATATAATGTTTCTTTAGGATTTATACATTTACCAGGTTGATAATTATAATGATTATGTACTGTAAAAGATGAATTTTGATACATATATAAATGATAATTGAAATCATGTAAAAATAAATTCAAATTATCTATCATACTACTATTATTATAAGTAGTATGATGGTTAGCTTAAAAATAATTCAGTCATCAAATTTGAATCCACTGAATAATACAATTGAATTAAATCTATATACAATTGTTCATTGAATAAAATTTCTCCAAATGAATTCACATTTAAATTAATATATTTCTTATCATCCATTGATTGTTGTTGTGAACATTTATAACCATTTATAAGTGTCGGTTTATTTGAATCAGTATCATTATTCATTGGATTCAATGATTCAGTATAATAATTATGTTGTTTATTTAAATTCATTAAATAATAAGTATTGTCATTATCGTTATTATTATTAGATATAATATTGACCTCTTTTGTAGAATGAATAATTTCAGCTTTTAATTGCTTATATTGTTTACATAAATGAATATTTATTAAATAAGCATCATTTAATGATTTTTCATCATTAGAATAATCACCATGTAGAAATAATTGAATATTCATTTCATTCATTGGTTTATATTTGGAAGTAAAAGAACAACAACAATAAGACGAAGAAGAATCGTTCTGTATAGATAATGATTCATTGACAGTAATCATATTCATCCAAGATCGACCACATGGCCATAAACATGATATTGTTGGTTGTTTAATATAATGATTACTTATTATATTTGGTATATCTAATGGTGTTGAAATTTTAGTCCATTCCATTAAATTAATATTAAAACAATACATATCATTTAATCTACTCATACGATAATCTGATAAGTGTTGTGATGTATTTATATGATTATGATTATTATATGGACCACGACCACCAAATATAATGAACCAACCATGTTTAGGTAATATAATAGAACAATGAGCTGCACGTGGTGTTGGAAATTTCTCGATGACATTTAATTGATGAATTAAATTCCATTGATTTTGATGAATATCATAAATAATTAATTGATTATTCCATCCACCATTATTATCACATATAATCCAACTTTGATTATCATTTGGATCATATAAATATGGCCATTGATAATATTGATTTGGCCATAGAGATAATGGTTTAAATTGTGGACCATAACCACCAAATAGATAAAGTTTACCATCATAATATTCCATACAAAATTTATCACGTGGTGATGGTAAAAGATTATTACAATGTTTATTAGTATTTTTTCTTAATTGTATATTCGTTGAATAATCATAATTGAATCGTCTTTGTAATGATTTTAACATTGTTAAATTAATAGATTGATGCTCAGTTATATCTTGTGGTAAACATGCTAAATAACTTAAAATACCATGTCCACTAATTACAGAAGCATGGCAACAATGTGGTCTTAAACCAGTGGATGTTATATTATTATTATTATTATTATTAGTAGTAGTAGTAGTAGTAGTAGTAGCAGTAGTATTAGTATTAGCATTAGTATTATCATTAGTTATATATTTTGATAGATTAGTATGAGTTAATTCATATCGACATAATGCATTTAAATGAATATTACCTAGTAGTGAATAATCTCCAAATGTATAAATACATGCTGATTGTTTTTCATTATTTCTATTTAATAATTATGGATATAATACAGCACTATTACCAGATGTTAATAGAACTAATTCATTGAACATATGATCTTGTAATGAATTAATATCCCAATGTATAGGTAAACATTCTATACAATTTGTTATAATATCATATCGTGTTAAACCGATTCGTTCAAAAAGTATCATTTTATCATCTGAAGGGCCGTAACCATTTAAAATATAGATGTACCGTCCATGGGATGCTGCTGAATGTCCAGTACGTGATAACGGATGTACAGGGTCACCAACCTCATTTCAATGTCTACTGTACGAATGACTATTCATCATATTAATATACATAAAAACATTTGATGGTCATTATCACTCTATTCTATGCATATTTGCATCCTAGGAAGCGTCTGGTACCGCTCATCATTCAGATAGTCGTTTAAACCGTCGCATATCAGGGACTCCATGAGTTTTGAAGGTAATGACAGAAGAGCCACCGGCCGATAACTTGAAGGTTCATTGTGTCGACCTCCTTTGAAAATTGGTGTGATGTGAGCTAACTTCCAATTTTCCGGTAGTTTGCCTCGTCTTAGCGAGTGTGAGAACATCACGCTAAGCGGCGTTGCCAGGTTTGAGGTTGCTTCCCTCAGTATGGCAGAATGAACCATATCCGGGCCAGGAGAAGTATCCAGTCTTAAGTGCTGCAATTTCCGGAACACCAAGTCAGCGCTTAGGTCCACTTCGGAAAGTTCTGTGGAATTGCAGATGAAACTGTCGTCAGTAAAGTTGATGTCGGCCGAAAGACTTATCTAACATCGAATTTTGCAAAGCACAAATAGTTACAGGTTCGATTTAGATTTTTAACTTAATTGCAGTTAACTACGATCTCATTCGGTTCTTCTGTGGTATCCCTGTGAATGTTTAGTCTGGATATATACATCCAGTTTGAGAACAGTTTGTTTACTCACTGTTCCTCTATTCTCAGTAGACTTTTAGATTTATCTTAGATAGTCAAACATATGTAGGTTGGAAAAATCCCCAATTGTCCTGGAATAGACGAACTCTGGCACGGCGATAAGTATATCAAACTCATTAGGCCTGATGTCTTCCACTAATGTAGAAGAAATTTTCACTGAGATAATGTGGAAGGCTGGTAGGATTATCCAAACGGCCGTCGTCAAACATAATCAATACCCGATTGAAACAATCAAAACTTATTGGAAACGATCTGGACAAAACCGATATGTTCAGCGGTAAATGAATCCTCAAAACAAATAGTTTTGCAAGTCCTCGACATTAGTGCTGACTTCATTATTTCTGCATAGCACACCCAAATCAAAGGTGTTTAATCAGGCATTCTCGCGAGATTATGTTTAGGAACGTTATGCTGTATATTTATCACAACGACTAGGTCGTTGAGACTACATACTTCTGGGAGCATAGACTATTTTGTAAAATATTTTTGAACCACTTTCTTCATGACATCTGGTTTAACTGGTTTTAAGATCCCCTACTGGGACGTCACAGATAACAGCGCCGTTAAGAACTGTATTTATTAACTATCTATGTGAACAAAGATAACCTCCACACTCGTAAGGAGTTGCATCGACATTGATGTAGAAAAAAAGGCACAAAAAGAGTCTGTGGGATGATAAGCCCGAGACTGCGGGAACCTTATGCATCCTTGAAAAAAAAAGAAATAACTATCATGAATGACATTTAATGCAGCGTGGACACCAATAATATTGGCGAAAATGACAAATGTCTGTTTTATGGGAGGCTACTTGTCATCTTTGATGAATGTTTAGGCAAAAATCTAACGTCATAGTCGGGATGGAAGCATCGGGTATGAACCCATCTTTGGTTGACATGGACTGAGTAAGAGGAACAAAAATGATGACGGACTTGTAGATCTATGCGTTTTCAACAACTTGATTATAGGTGGTAGTGTTTTATCCCTCATACTCGCACAAAAACCACTTGTGTTTAACGGGGCAACGCTTTGGAGGACCAAATCAATCGTATTTGCACCAGTAAAATTCCCAAATATCCATAGAAGACGTAAGAACGGAGTAGCAAGCTGATATTAGCTTCAGATCACCACCTGGTGATGGTTAGGATCGAACTGAAGCTAGAGAAACATTAGGTGATGATAAAAGCAGAACTACAATACAGCCTTCACTGGAAATATTAACAAACTCAGAGAGTTCATTGTAGTTGTTAGGAATACATTACAAACCTAACAAGCGCAACCAGAATAAAAGGAAATTAATATGACAGACAACTGGATATGGGTTCAGAGGTAATAATTTCAACAAACCAGTAGGTGTTGGGACCTAAAAGGGACCGGCATAAACAGACGATCTTTGTAGATAGCCTGTGTAGCACTCAAGAAAAAAGAAACGAACAGACGCCAACTAACAACACCTGAATAAGGGCAGTAAGATTCAAGGCGTTGGGCAAATATATAAAAGTGAACAAAGAAGTGAAGAAACGTATTGTGGCAGACGTGTGGGAATATGTGGTAGTCCTGTCAAGCACATCTGAAAAATCCGAAGATGAAAATGTCAAGGAACTATTTGATACAAACAGGAGGCTTGTAAGGCATAGAGTAAAGCAAGGAAATCAGTTAGAAAAAAGGGAAACCAATCACTTAAATTCAAGAACACGTAACCTATAGGATACCGAAGCAGCGGCTGAAGAAACACATAACCAACTGCAAACATGCTCCATCTTCTATTTAGGAAGATCTGGGAGGAAGAACAAGTGCCATTGACAGACTGGAGAGAAGGACTCGTCATGAATATACCGAAGAAAGGAGATCTAAGCAAACGTGAGAACTAAAGAGGCATCACACTACTATCACTACCAGGAAACATTTAAGACAGAGTGTTGTTGGACCGGATGGAAGATTCAATAGACGTCCAGGTTCGAGATCAACAGACTGGATTCCGTAGGGGTCGGTCGTTCACAGACTGAATTGTGACACTACGGATTATTGCTGAACAATCAATTGAATGGAACTCAACATTATAGATCAACTTCACTGACTGTGAGAAGACGTTTGACAATGTGGACAGGAGGACCTTATGGAGACTTCTTCGACACTGTGGTATGAATATCTGAGAAGATTGTCAACATCATCTGGAAGTCATACGACTGACTACAGTGCAAGGTGGTGCATGGCGGACAGCTGACAGATGAACTCCAACTGATGACCGGTGTCAGACAAAGTTGCTTACTCTCGTCATTTCGCTTTCTTCTGGTGATTGACTAGATTACGAAGACCTCCATATCTGTAGGAGAGCACTGAATACACTGGACACCGTGGATGTAACTAAACGGTTTGGACTTCACAGATGACCTAGTTCTTCTCTCCCATACACACCAACAAATGCAAGCCATGACAACCAGTGTAACAGCAGCAACCTCTGCATCAGTAGGCCTCAACATACACAATGGAAAAAGCAAGATCGTGCAACTCAACATTTAGAAAACCAACCCAATCCCACTTGATTAGGAAATTGTGGAAAGGGGTGGAAAATTTCACGTGCCTGGATAGCATCATCGATGAACAAGGAGGATCTGATGCAGATGTGAAGGCGGATTGTGGACAGCATTCCTTCAGTTGAAAAACATACGCAACTCAAAACAACTGTCTTTAAGCCAACATCAAATTCTGAATCTTTCATTCTTCTCCCTGTCCTGTAGTTTAACCTTTGTTCAGTTCTCGTTTACCTACACCTTTTGTTCTTCAGTCTACCTCGTCTGAGCTTTTGTTATGTGATTTTGATTGAAGACTTATCCTTTTTTACCTAATTTTCTATTGCATGTTGCCGGACTATTGACAATAAGGTCGTGTTTGACCAAGCTCAAAGTCACGGCGTGGTTCAGTGTGTGATTGTTAACCTTCTGACTGTCTGCCTTGGAGGATTGCTGGAATACCTGCAGATAGATATTTGATATCATTTTGTTGGGAATATTTCTGTTGATTCTCAGGTATCGGACCCTTTAGTACTAACTGTTTCTTTTGCTGTTAAGCGCGCTGCTTTGCGTTAGGAAAACCTTTTACTGTATAGCGCAGGCTGTACCGTTTGAGGTGTTTTGTATTTTTGATATAATTTGTTGTATTTCCTAAATTAAAACCGTTTAAATTGAGCACGGAGTTGATGTTTTGATATAATTTAATACGAATGTCTCAAAAACGCTTTGTAAGCTATACAGAAGAACGTAGTCTGGCCTATTCGAATACATTTTGGTTCGTCAGTCCTGCGTTCAAACCGAATACTGGCAGTTCGGTCGTTACAGTCACTACAGTGTGCAAATAAATCCCCAAAATAAAGAGTTTTTCAAGTTTTAGACATTGATTCTGACCCTAATTTGTTTTTCTTAACACACATAGTTGAGAATCTCTGTCATGCATTCGCACTAGATCACGAGTGGGTGAGTCATGCTACGCATCCTTAGCCATCTTAGACGAAACGCTTCTCGATGTATCGATAGCCTTCCAAATATATCTTCGAACCTCATCATTTCTGACTTCTGATTTGACTGGGTTGACATACTTCGAATACAAAGGTGATATTATTTCTATTATTACTGGTAACTTTGTCCAGTACTGTATTCTTGGCATAATGTAAAACCTCAACAAAAACTATTTTAACAGGTTCACTTTCTTATTTCTTGATCGATCCTGACGATAAATATTGGGTGATCGCCAGTTATATGTCAAAGCCAACGTATAATGGAACTGTTCAATTCAGGAATTGACGTCTTGATTATGTTCATTCTCTTCAATGAATATTGCTAGCCGCCACGATGTCGGTGATTGCACTTTTAGTAACATGTACAATGAAAGGTCATGAGTTAGTAGTGACCTACTTTTATGAAGAGATCGCGATTGGTATAATGAAAACAATTATAATAAACAAGTCCACCAGTGATCATTTTACTGTGCCTGTTTGTTTAAGTGCACCAAAACATACCACCTTCCGTTTTTTGCGACCTCGTACGAACTCTCGTACGCTCAGTAGTCTCGCTTGTAGATTTTGGCACGATCTCGATATTATTTCAATATCACGAGATCTTAACTGCAGCCTTCAACCGCCTTCTGATATTTGGCTTTCGGAGAGGTCTAACCTGGTAACTAGCACGTATTCCATCAGTAGTGGTGATCATAATCAACCGCGAGCCGACGC